CAATGAGAACTGGCAGATCCTTTGGATGATGTGAGTGCCCCCATTCTAAATAACAACTTTAATCTTCATCTGGGAAAAGATGACTGATCCTCAACCATAATCAAAGTAACTGAAAATGGAGCCTTAAATAAGAGTTAAGTAAGGATGTACATTAACTCACACAGACTAAAGTTAACATTACACTGAAAATGTATTTCCAAGAGATTCTTACCTCCTCTCACATAACAGCTTATCTCAACTTGTACTGCCCTCTCTCTATATGTGCAAATTTTTGCTTGCCACTAGTCTTGACACTCCCACCTACCCTTACGTGAGGCAGGTGTGTGATAGCATACAAATGAGTATACCACAACCCTCCAACAATAGAAGTGCAACACATCTCCTAGCACAGCTGTTATGCTGTAGGAGTAGTAGTAGTAGTAGAAACGTTAAACTCTGAATTCATGATAATTATGAGTGGTTTTGGAAAAAATAAAAAATTCCAAACACGGAGCTAACAAAAATTATTAAAGACTTAATATTAATGTGTACAAATGAAAAGTTAAAGAACTGAGAGGTAACAAACTAAAAAAAATACTAAATTCTCCAAAAAAGAAGTAACAGATGGAAATTCTGTGAAAAAACGTGAGCAAAAAACACATCTAAACACTACAAGTACCAATTGAGAAGTGAGGTTGAGCTAAGCTGCATAGAGGGAGTCAGCTGTGGTAGGAGTTGTGTCACACTCCTACTGGTGGAGGGCTGTCGCAAACTCATTTGCACACTATCACATAGCTGCATCATGTCAAAACACGTGAGGGTAGGTGGGAGCTTCAAGGCTAGTGGCAAGCAAAAACTGGTGCATATAGAGGGCAGTACAAGTTGAGAAAAGCTGTTATGTGAGAGGAAGTAAGATATCAATTCGGAAAAAGAATCTTATGTGGCACTGTTCAACTGCCATCATGGAGAATTCTAATCATACTGTGAAGGAGAGATCTAATTGTCTAATTAAAAAGGTCTGAGAAGAACATGGTATAAAACAACATTAACTCTCTCAACACAGGCTCAGCCAATTTGACCGAGTTACGTGACCTTTTGTACTCGTTTAAAGTTGATATGAATTTAATACTTATAACTCTCTATATATATTGGCTATATCTTCACGAAATTTGGCAGTCTTTCAGTTAATATTACAAGTCTTTCACATACAAAAAAAGTCATATGTCTTAGTGAATTATTTTTAATAAAATAAAATAAAGCTTTGTCCAAGAATATATTGAGTATTTTTTTTGAATAGTAATCTCACGTTAAAATTAAAAATACTTTTCCTCATCTCAAAAACCTCAAATTTCCTTTGTATAATCCTCCAAAACCCCCAAATGCATTTCAAACGTTTTTTTTTTTTCAGTAAAACTTTATAGTTTATCTGTTATTTTCTCTACCCTATCTCAAAATGGAATCGTTCAATACTAACCAAAAAAAAAAATTGAAATAAATCTAAATTACCTCTGTTTTCTTTCTAAAATGAC